CCATGCATCGTATTAGAATATTGTATGATGTAGATATCCAACAATTAACAGGCATTCATATTTGAGCAGATTACATTTCACACATTTATATGCAGTAAAAATGTGATCCAATATGCAATTAAAACTGCTCTGATACCAAAATAAACATGTCACACCTTACCCTACTGTAAGACATGGCATGTCGCCCGTAATATAATTAATACATGGCATGTCGCCCGTAAAATTATACATTTAATAAGCACCTTAATTTCTTATAAATGGCTTACTAAGTAATACTTACAAGAGACTTTAAATTCCTTTTTTAATTCTTCAATTTTTATATCTTGTTAGCAAAAATAATTTAGTTTAATTAAATATATAATAAACTTTCTTTTGGTAAAAGAAATGTCTATAATTTACTAACTAGTAATCTCAATATAATTTCTTAAACATATTATTAAAAACATAAAATGGTTCCATAACCCATAAGTCCATAGATGATTTAATTACATATTGGAGTTCTGTTCAAATCTTAGATACATAATAGAAATTAATTACTTAATAGACTATAAATTTTCAAATTCATACAATCATAATTCACATGAATCTGCTCAAATATACATAGATGATCTGTTAATGTTTAATACATCATACATATTCTAAAAGAAGTCAAATATACAATAGCTACATCAGTAGCATACTATCTACATCAAATAAAAATGATCCTCTCTTGGTTCTTTTTCCTTTTCTTTACCTGTTCCTTTCCTTGGCGATAGTACCACAAAGCAACTATCGCTAAGCAATATGGTCTTAGTGGTGTACTAATAAAAATAATAAGGAATGACCAATTCATAAATTCCACCTTGGTAAAGAAAATAAGAAACAAAATAAATCATACCATTTAAATCATCAAATTCGAATAATATAAATCTTTACAGCTTTTTATAGAGTCCAATTCTGGGGCCATCAGTGGACTAGTCTATGCTAGTCGAGTCACGATACACAGCATTCGAGAGATCCAGTTGATTGCATAGATGAACGCCAGATTAAGCCAGAGAGGGAGAATCTACAACCTCAACATGGAGTGAGAATTTCATATCAATCATATATCATCTAGTGATGATATCATGTTCAAGTCGAATCTTAATATCAAACTTCAACAAATGAAATGATATTCGGGGTATATAACCATAATCTTATAGTCAGCTGTAAGACTTTTAAACCAGTCCATTTATGTACTAATATCAAAATCACAATGGACAACTTCATTTCACAACCACTTGCTAAATTCAATCACGGCCACCCCTCATACTACAGATATCAATTGGCCAACATCCTCCTCTTTCACAGTATAAGAATCATAAAATTCATTTAAAATATCATTCGGTCATATGCTTTCAAAATAATCTTTTTCCTCTTTAAAAATTTATGAAAGCACTAATATATATATTTTTTATATATATAGTTATAATTCATAAAGCACATCCATAGAAAATTTTTTGCAAACTCAATCTCATTTTGTTTAAATAAAAGTAGGAAAGGAATAATAACACTAACCTGAACTAGATGGCTCCCCTAGCCCTTTTCCTCTAGTAATCCCTCACTCCCTTTCTCCTAGCACTGTAGCATCGAATTAATACTGACTACTTCACACATTAAGATCATACTACACAATGTTACACACACTGCCACTTCTATATGAAGAATGTAAATTTAAGCATTAGAATGTAGTCCTCATGCTTTTTCTTCTTTCCACTAGTAACTGCATGTCCAAGTGTTATATGACTGAAGTTGTTAAGCATGAAACACTTCATATCCCTAACACTTAACCACAGTCCTAGACACAAATATGCTAACAATGAAAACAATAGAAGTGAAATAGCATCTATTCGTTCAAGGGTTTATGTAAAATGCCAGAATTTCGCAGCATTGAGTAGCTGGCATGGCGTTGAACTATATCCTTGAATCCATAATTCAATTGACCTGAAAATTATTGACGCATGTTTCCCAAACATCTTAGGGTACTGTTCTGGAAAATTTTCAATTAATTATATTACGGGCGACATGCCATGTCTTACAGTAGGGTAAGGTGTGACATGTTTATTTTGGTATCAGAGCAGTTTTAATTGCATATTGGATCACATTTTTACTGCATATAAATGTGTGAAATGTAATCTGCTCAAATATGAATGCCTGTTAATTGTTGGATATCTACATCATACAATATTCTAATACGATGCATGGTTTTCTGTGATAATATACAGAGAGCGTGTTATTTTACAGAAGCTGAATGTCAGGCAGCATAACTGTAACATGTCCAACAATGGTAAGTTTATTTAAGTATTCTCAACTCACTTCCAGCACAAATTCATGCAATCCAACTCTTCTATTACTGAAATAACATCATAATATAAGATATAGCAGAATAGCAGAGTCCATAAGTTCATATAGCAGAATCCCTAGTTCATGGAATATCAAAAACAAACTCAAAATCATCCATCTTAGTGAATTATGCAACTTAGACTTGAATTCATGCATAACTACTTTCAACCATCTTAAATCACCTTAAAATCACTTCTAGTCACTTCATCTTCACCAAATCAGAATACACAAGCAAGCACCTCACTTCAAAGTTCATGGAATTCAAAAATTAATCCATAGAAAAGAAGGAGGAAGTGAAGATAAATAACCTTTTCTTAAGAAATACTTGAAAATTCTTTGATTTTCACCTCCTTTTTGCTTGGTTTTGACTCAAAACCCTCCTCCTCTCTTCTTGAACGGCTTGGCCTACAATAATGGGTGAAAGTGTCGTGGTTCTCTCCACTTATTCATAAAAATTATATAATAAACTTTATTAAAAATTCCTTCCATGTCCTTTAAATGAAAATTGCCTATAATCCTCCCTTTTGTTTTCCCTTCATCCTTTGGCACTCTAATCTTTTTAATCATTTTACTTTAGTCCTATTAGGTATAAACGAAGTGTATTTAATATTCTAAACTCCACTTGG